AGGATCTGTCCTGTTCTGTAAGCGGGTTATTGAAGTCTTCAGCTATTACGGTGTTGATGTTTATCATTTTGTTTAGATCAAGTAGGATTTGCTTTATGAATCTGGGTGCACCTGACTTAGGTACATAAATATTTAGAATTGTTATGTCTTCTTGTTGAATTGTACTCTTCAGCATTATATAGTGATCATCTTTGTCTTTCATTACTTTTGTCGATTTGAAGACCAAGTTATCTGAAATCAGAACCACCATGTCAGCTTTCTTTTGGCTTCTGTGTGCTTGAAATATTGTTTTCCATCCATTCACCTTGAGTCTGAATGCATTCTTGTGGGTTAGACATGTTTCCTGAAGACAGCAGATACTTGGCTTGTATATTTTTATCCCTTTGCCCAGCCTATGTCTCTTCAGTGGGCAGTTCAAGCCATTCACATTTATTGAGAGAATTGATAAATGGGGTAGATTCCTGTTCATCCTGTTGATTTCAACTTCATTGCTTTGTTTTCTCTCTTGAGCCATTGTGGTATCTGTCCTCTGACCTTTAGCTTTTGAATGATTTTATATTCTTGAGTGTTTATTGTGCTGATCCATGTGTAATACTGTTGTTTTTAACTCCTGGAGGGTAGGTCTTGTCTAGATGAATTCCCTTGATCTTTGCTTGTCTTAGAAGGTCTTTATTTCTCCTTAGTATACCAAACTTAGTTTTGTGGGGTACAAGATTCTAGGCAGGGCATTAGTCTGTTTGAGAAGAGTGAGAATGGGGCCCCAGTCTCTTCTTGTAAGGTCTCAGTTGAGAAGTTTGACGTTATTCTGATGGGTTTTCCTTTGTAGGTTACCTGCTTCTTTCACCTTACAGCTCGTAGGAGGACCTCTTTTGTGGTTATTTTGGTCAGTCTGATAACCATGTGTCGTGGTGTCTTCCTGTTTGCAATGACTCTCCCAGGAGTCCTTTGAGCTTCTTGTACCTGGATATCTAGATTTTTATCAAGACTTGGGAAGTTTTCCTTTATCATACCCTGAAATAGCTTATCCAATCCTTATGTATTTTCTTCTTCACCCTCAGGGATGCCTATGATTCTCACGTCAGGCCTCTTCACATAATCCCACATTTCTTGTAGGTTTTACTCTTTTCTCTTATTTCTCTGCTCTATCTCTATGAGTGACTTATTTAATTGAAAGGTGTTATCTTCAATCCCTGAGATTCTTTCTTCAGTTTGGTCTACCCTGTTCTTGAGGTTTCCA